TTCAGGTGTGTCCCAGGTAGACACAGTCGAGCCAGTCGAGGTTGCTGCTGAGTCTGGTCCTGCTGCGGGTGCAGAGTCTGGGGGTGCTACGCCTGCAGGTGCTGAGCTTGGGGGTGCTGTTGCTGGGGGTGCTGAGCCTGGGGGTGCGAGGCCGGGGGGTGCTGAGCTTGGGGGTGCTGCTGCTGGGGGTGCTGAGCCGGGAGGTGCTACGTCAGGAGCTGCTGAGCCTGGGGGTGCTGAGCCTGGAGGTGCGGAGCCTGCGACTGCTGGACCTGGGGGCTCTCCGGTTGCTCCGTCTCGGCGGGAGCCGCTCTCTCCACAGAAGCTGCGCGAGTGGTTTGCTCGCCGCTGGAGGCGTGCTGCTGGAGCTGGAGCTCCTTCGACTGCTGAGGGTGCTGGTGCTGCCGGTCCCGGAGCTGCTGGGCCTGCGGGTCCTACTGGAGCTGGAGCTGCTGAGCCTGGGGGTGCTGAGTCTGGAGCTGCTGAGCCTAGGGGTGCTGAGTCTGGAGCTGCTGAGCCTGGGGGTGCTACGTCTGGAGCCGCCGAGCCTGGGGTTTCTCCTGGTGCTGCGTCTCGGCGGGAGCCCCTCTCTCCACAGTAGCTGCGCGAGTGGTTTGCTTGCCGCTGGAGGCGTACTGCTAGAGCTGGAGCTTCTTCGACCGTCGAGGGTACTGGTGCCGCCGGTCCCGGAGGTGCTACGCCTGCGGGTCCTACTGGAGCTGGGGCTGCTGAGGGCGTTGGTGCTGAGTCTGCTGCTGTCTGTCCTGACGGTGATTCTGCTGCTGGTGCTGCTGGAGGTCCTGCCGCTGGAGGTGTTGGTGGCGCTGGTGCTGCCGCTGAGGGTGCTGGTGCTGTCCCTGCTGAGTCTGGAGCTGCCGCGCGGCCTCGGCCGTTTCCGCTTCTGTAGCAGGTTCTTGGTCTTTCTCCTCCGGTAGAGTGTCCACAGCCTGTCCAGTCGCAGTCACTGTTGGAGCCTACCTCCCCACTGCCTGCTCCCTCTCCTTACACCGGTCCTACTGGAGGTCTTGCTGAGCGTCGTGAGCCTGCGTCTCGTCCCGCGTCGCCTGTTCGTGCTGCCCGCGCTAGTGGTCGTGGTTCGCGTCCGCGTCCTCCTCCTGTCCCTGGCACGCACCGGATGTCTCTGCGTCCGTCCACTGCTCCTCTGCGTGCCCTTTTGCCTTCTCCTCCTGAATCCTCCCTTCCTGTGCTTACCGACCCAGAGTCGGACTCCCTTCGTGCTGCCAGTCCTACTGTCACGCGTCTCCTTGCTACTGTCGTCACTGACCCCTCTTTTGAGTCCGCTGCTGCGTCTGCTCTTGTCACTGACCTCGTCGACTTTGCTGCTCGCTGTCGTCTAGACTACACTGCTAGTCTTGTTGCTGAGTCTGCGTCTGTCTGTCCTCCGTCCGTCGGGGGTGAGTGTGCTCTTGGCACGGACGTCCTAGAGGACAGGCAGGAGGAGTTACAGTGTCTGGCTGCTGCTTCACCTCATCTCGCGTCTGTACTGCTTGCTCCTGAGGGAGACCCGGATGCACTAGACATCCCGACTCCGCGCTCTTACGCGGAGGCCGTAGAGGGTCCCTACTCCTCTCAATGGCAGGCAGCTATGGATGCAGAGGTGGCTTCCTGGAAGTCCACAGGCACCTACGTTGACGCGGTTCCCCCTCCTGGGGCGAACATCGTCAGTGGCATGTGGATCTTCAGGGTGAAGCGGCCGCCGGGCTCTCCACCTGTCTTCAAGGCGCGGTACGTCGCTCGTGGCTTCAGTCAGCGGCAGGGAGTTGACTACTTTCAGACCTTCTCTCCCACCCCGAAGATGACCACTCTTCGGATGCTGCTGCACATAGCCGCTCAGCGCGACTACGAGCTTCACTCTCTCGACTTCAGTACTGCGTTCTTGCAGGGGAGCCTGCACGAGGAGATCTGGCTGCGCCGTCCACCTGGCTTCACTGGGACTTTCCCTCCTGGCACCCACTCGAGCCTCCGACGGCCAGTCTACGGTCTCCGCCAGGCACCACGTGAGTGGCACGACACATTGAGGACTACACTTGCGGCCCTTGGGTTTGCTCCTTCTACTGCTGACCCGTCGCTGTTTCTGCGCACCGACACTTCACTGCCGCCGTTCTACATCCTCGTGTACGTCGACGACTTGGTCTTTGCCACAGCGGACACTGCTGGACTCGCCTACGTGAAGTCCGAGCTGCTGAAGAGACACACGTGCACAGACCTGGGTGAACTGCGCAGCTACCTTGGCTTGCAGATCACTCGGGACAGAGCACGCCGCACCATTACCTTGACTCAGTCACACATGGTGCAGCAGGTCCTTCAGCGCTTCGGCTTCACGTACTCCTCGCCTCAGGCCACTCCTCTGTCTACTCGCCACTCGCTCTCAGCTCTGCCTTCGGATGAGTCCGTAGAGTCGAGTGGCCCGTACCCAGAGCTTGTTGGCTGCCTCATGTACCTGATGACCTGCACACGACCTGACCTTGCATACCCTCTTAGCATTCTTGCACGCTATGTTGCTCCTGGGAGACACCGACCAGAGCACATGGCTGCAGCGAAGAGGGTATTGCGCTACCTGTGCAGTACGTCGGGCATGGGGCTAGTGCTTGGAGGGCGGAGTCCAGTGGTACTTACAGGTCACGCGGACGCTTCTTGGGCTGACGACCAGGCTACGCAGCGGTCGTCACAGGGTTACACCTTCAGCCTTGGCTCCGGCTCTGTCTCGTGGCGGGCTACTCGCTCGTCTTCGGTTCTCAGCTCGAGTTGTGAGGCTGAGATCTACGCAGGGGCCATGGCTGCACAGGAGCTTCGCTGGCTCACCTACCTGCTGACTGACCTTGGAGAGCCGCCTCGTTCTCCTCCAGTGCTGTACGTAGTCAACAAGGCCATGTTGGCCTTATGTCGAGAGCAGCGTCTGGAGCACAGAACGAAGCACATTGCTCTTCGCTACTTCCTTGCTCGTGAGCTACAGCAGCGTGGACAGTTGCGGCTTGCGTACGTGGCCTCTGAGGCCAACACTGCTGATGTGTTCACCAAGGCACTCGCGCCTTGTGACCATCAGCGCTTCTGCACCCAACTGGGTCTTGTGCCTGTCTTGCCTCACTTGCTCTCCTCTTGACTTTACTTGTACTGTCACATATATATACCTGCTCTTGCTTGTCTAGCTTTATATATATATGTGTGTACTCCTGCATGTGAACTGGCCTTGTGGCCTTGCTCTTGTGCTCGGACTGTGTGGTGACTTTGTGATCCACCCTGAGCTTTGCTTTGCTTTGCTTGACTGGTCTTGTGACCCCTTGTTCTCCCCCACTTTGCCTATGGGGGTGTGTCAGAACATATATGTAGCTTATGCTGTTGTGTAGGCTACAGTGGGGTATACCATAGGGGGTACAACCCAATTAGGGTTTTGCTATTTGTACTCACTTCACTCATAGTTCATTCATTCTCGTTCTATTTTCCACACGTCGCAATTTCGAGCGCCGACTCCTCAACTTGGCGTACAAGACCGTGGAGTTGCTTCTGCGTTAGTGTCGCAAGAGTGAATTCGGCCAAGGTGGGGGTGTCAGGCAAGCTCAGCGAGAGCCTCTGTTGTGGCCGTGCGTGCTTACGAGAGAGCATTACGAGCGACGGTGTTGTGTCGCTGAGAGACGTCTACCTCCCCCAAAAAAACTGTGATAGTGGGGAAACGAAGGTGTGGGTGGGTGCGGTCCGAGAAGAGATCGTAGGCTCTGAATACCAAGTGTTACGAGTGCAATTGAGTGATCGAACGAGATTTGCACTATTGAAGCAAGAGTACAATGAGTGTAGGCATGAGCGAAGAATATATAGCGAAACTACAGTGGTAACGATAATGAACTGTGGTTGACGCGCGACGGGCCTGGAACTGAGGTTGGGAAAATGTCGAGGCGGAGTCCCAGAGCGCGGGTTACCCGCCGAGCTGTGAGGTCGGGGTGCGACGTGCGAAGGTGGCGGGAGGATTGTCGATGCGAGGGTTGCGAGTGGTAACGGTGCTGACTGTGGTGCTACAGTGGTGTATGCGCTAAGCAGGGACGCAAAGTAAGGAAAGGAATTTTCCTTACAGAAATCAAGAGAAGACACATGTAGTAACAGATAATGGAGAGCGCATTGCAAGGTTACTCATCTTGCACACGTTTGTCATTTTTTGTGCTCTCTTGGCAAAAAATGGTTTGAGGGGTGCAACACTAGCTGCAACATTCCCAAGTTTCCCAATTCTGCAATTTAAGACTTGCTGTCCACTAATGCCGATTCAGCTCACGACCCAATATTGAACTTCCAGTCACATAAGTATGTCGAATTATATGCCAAGCAGAGCATTCCCCCGACAGCATCAAGGCCTAGCCTTGCAGTGTTAAGCACCTCCTGGTTTTGCTGCCGTAACCTTATCGTCTTCAACAAAAACATGCTTCAGAGCTTCATAGCACATGAACGAGATTCCGGCAGCAGGCATTAGCTTGACGCACGACGGCACGAGTCCCCTGTAGAGCCCTTGGATTCCTTGCTCCTGAACGATCCTCTGAATGCAGTCCAATGTCCCCTTGTACACAACACGGCCCTTGAGCGCACCAACTTGCATCTGCAAGTGTACCAATGGGAAGGGGAAGGAGGTTAACATGATGGACAGAACGAAGGAGGTTGATACAGGTGAAGCCTGAATTTTAACCACAGACTAAACCATTACCAGCTTAAAGCACCTGATGTATGACCTCCTGATTTAGGCGGCACCAGTAGCAGAACTTGCAGCACTGGCAGCACCAGCAAATCCAGAAGCAGCACCAAGAGGCTAAAAAAAACACACTGCCGCCCAGCGAGCACACCTCCTCACCCCCATCCCCCCCACCTCCTCCTTCCTCCTCCCCCCTCCTCCTGCCCTCCACCGGTTTCCGAACAACTTTGAAGGTAGAGGGAGCCAGCATATGGCACGATGCCTATCAGGCCGGGCCCCAGTCCCCGGTAGAGCGCATGAGCATTCCGTAGAATCAACCACACCCAACAGCATCACCCACACCCCAAACCACCCAGCGAGCACACCTCCCTACCTCTTTCCCCCCACCCAACTCCCCCCTCCCCCCCCCCCCCCCACACACCTGTTTGCGGGCGACTTCCAAGGGGAACGTGGCTGAGGCAGCAGCAGCACCAGCAAGCGACCCAATGATGAGCGTCGCCAGCGGCTCGATCTTATCCTTCTTTGCAAGCCTCTTGTAGAGCGTGCGCAGCGTGTCGTATGCAAAGTAGTTGGAGCCGGCATACGGCACAATGCCTATCAGGCTGGGGCCCAGTCCCCTGTATAGCTCGTGAGCGCCCTCCTCTGTGATGATTCGGTAGAATGCATGCAGGATGGAACGGTACTCGCCCGGCTGTATGGACAGAAAGGGAAGTGGGGTGGTGGGGGGGTTGGGTGGAGGGGGGAGGGGAAGAGAGAGACAGAAGGCACAGAGGAGTGGCACAGCGGCATGGGCGGGACACGTTGAGGGCACGAAGCACGGTGCCTATGAGGATGGGTCCCAATCGCCGGTGGAGCTCGAGAGTACCCTCCTCTGTGATGATTCGGTAGAATGCATGCAGAATGGAGCGGTACTCACCCGGCTGCTCGGAGAGAAAGGGGGAGGGGGGCGAGGAGGGGGGCAGGCGGAGGGGTCGGCGGGGGGAGGTGTGGGGTGGTGTGGCGGAGCGGAGAGAGATAAAAGGAAAGGGAAACAGGTATATCTGCATGGGTTGGCCCCGTTTTGGTGCTCGAGACTGTTGGACTGAGAACTGGAGTATGAAGGAGCCAGCCTGTGACACGGTTTGGTTAGGACATGAAAACGAAACACGATGCCATTGCCTGTGAGTGAGTCTGGTAAGTGTGACAACGCACACCCCAATGCTTATCCACATGTCCCAGACCCAGTTACGAATCACACCTCAATGCACTGAACGGCTCAACACTGACAAAGCTCACCTGGATGGGGAGCCGCGTCTTGGTGTGACGGGCTCGAGGGGGTACCTGAGGCAGCACGCTGCCACGTCAGCAGCCGACCAGACCTGGCAACTGGCTCGACAACTCAAAACTGATAAGCTACAAGGGGTACATGGTACAGCAGGCTGTGACGCTGGCAGCCACCCCGGCAGTGGACTCGTCAACCCAACCAGCACTGATATTCTCACCTGGATGGTCAGCCGCGTCTTCACGAGCTCGAGTGGGTACATGAGGCAGCAGGCGGCCACGCCAGCACAGATGCCACCAGTGCACTGTACAGCATAATCAACACTAAGAAGCTCACCTGAATGGTCAGCCGCGTCTTGACGAGCTCGAGAGGGTACATGAGGCAGCAGGCGGCCACGCCAGCAGCCGATCCGGCGATGGAGGAGGGCGGGATGGGAATGATGGGCTTGCCACCGTCCGGCGGGGTGAGCAGCTTCTTGACCGTGTCGTACGTGAATAGCTGGTGGTGGAGGTCAGTGGGGGAGGAGACGGGCAGAGGAAGAAGAAGAAGGCAGGCGGAATGAGCGCATGGTGAGCAGCTTCTTGACCGTGTCGTACGTGAATAGCTGGTGGCGGGGAGAAGGGGTAAGGAGGAATGCGCGTATGGGCGCAAGGGTGAGAAGGGGACGCTGGAGCACAGAAAGGGACCGAGTTGACTTTTGAGTCGACTAAAAAATGCGCGTATGGGCGCAAGGGTGAGAAGGGGAGGCTAGAGCACAGAAAGGGATCGCACAGGTTGGTGCTTCCTTGTCTCGTGCCTTTAACGCTCTATTTCTCTTTCTTATTTAGCAAATGGGTTGTGGTCGGACTAGAAATGTAGCATGGGTGAACGGGCACGTATCACTCAGCGTCACAATGCATGCGGTCAATGCAGCAGCTATGAGCGTGAGCAAGCCCACAATGGTTAACTGAACCCTTTCAGGTAAGAGCCCATTGATCTCCTCACATGTGCACCTTTCACCTCCACCGCCGTTTCACTCGACTCTCACCTCCACGGCCTTGCCGGGAGCCACGCGGATGACGTTGATGGCGTTGCCGCGGAACAGCCCGCGCCACCCCTCCTTCTGCATGATCCAGCGGAACACGCCCACGATCGTGCGGTGCCCCGAGCTCCCCACCATCAGATGCGTGCGAATCGTCTCCAACGGCGCCACCACTGCCACATCGCGCAAGTGTATAACAATACAGGTATTACATTGAATGTTACAATCAGTTGCCTGAGCTCCCCACCATCAGATGCGTGCGGATCGTCTCCAGCGGCGCCACCACTGCCACATTGCGCATTTCCATGACCAGTTGATTTGATTTAATCTGTTTCGTTTCGTTTGTTTGATTGTTTGTTTGTTTTATATTTTTCCAAGTGCCAGACAAACGTTCAGGCAGTCAATGTGGCACTTTGAATCAACCACTTCCGAGCGATGCGTTGTTAATAGCGGCAAACGAGGAACGTGCCGCCGCATACGGCGCTTCAAAGACCGAAAACACATATATTCAAAAAGGAAAGGAAGAAGCCACACGCACCTGTGCGTGACACTCCTCCAGCAATGGCTCCGCTGACAAGCTTCTTCGCCGCTCCCCCGAGGCGAATCTGCACTCGGAAGCCACGATTCTCCTTCCACGCCGTTCCCACCACCGTCCCTTCGCCAGCCTCGCCAGTTTCCTCTCGCAACTCTTCGCCAAACTCGACCTTCTCCAAACCACCTGCCGGCGTCGGCGCCTCGGACGACGAATCCGACGCGTATTCCGACCAGCTGAATCCGAATTCTCCATCCACGCACTCTAGGGTTTCCATCTCGTCCAGCGTCTTTTTCCGTCTCAGCTTTTGTCGTTGCCGCTCTGAAAACGTCACCTTGGATTTCATTCGATTTCCAAAGATCGGCTTCGCGTCTTCCTCTTCGAGCTCGCCTGCTTTTCTCAACCGCTGACGCTCCGAAAAGGTAACTTTATCCGGCTTCATGCGATGTCCACGGAAGCCGAAAGCTCCTCCATTCGGACCATTTCCATTTTGAGCCGTTGGTGAACCGGACGCATCGCCATTCGAAGAAGCGGCGAGGGATCTTCGGGAACCGCGACGTCGCTGCTGTTGGCGTTCGGAGAACGACACTCTGCGAGACTCTTGAGGCTTTGAGCTGATCGCTAAGCCTTGAGACGAAGCTGGAGGGTCCATGGCGAAAACACCTATATATTTTCACGCAATTTGTATTTTTTATTTCACTTGTGAGATAAGGCTTGGTAAGAAATAAGCGGTCTTCTCTAGAACACAACCGAAAGTTTTATCTAACTGATCCCTTGACGTTGCAAACACGCGGTTAGCTGAGAGATGGCTGGTCTGTAACAGCCACAAGCTAAGTCCAACAGGACCACGTCTTTCGCAGGTGTAATGCAAAACCGATTCATGAAATTTGGCTTAGATGCCCTTGCGAAGACGCGATGCCGAAGGAAAAATCCTTAAACTACTTCGGAATTCAACAGAAAAGCAGTAACGGCGCGTGCAGAAGAACTTACGCCTACTCTAATGGTCACTGACCTTAGTCTGTGGTCTGATCTGTACCGCAATGGTCAGTCTCACTGTCTCGCACTATCCAGTCAAGCGTGTGTGTCATCAGTTCCCAAACCACGGTCTGTTCCGGTGCGTTGCGATGAAAAGTGGTGAAATCATGTTACCGTGTATAAGCGTACTGAACCACACTGGACGATTAGCGGGAAAGCCCGTGGGGCACGGCATGAGGCATTCAAGGATGGTCGTGACAGGAAGACCAAATGATGGTGGACGGGGTGCCCCGGTTCTGACGTAACGAGGGAATTGTGACCGATCTGAAGGAGATTCTCTGTGGGAATGGACGCTGCCCAATGAGAGCTAGCGCCGTCGGCTGACCTGGCCGCCACGTGCATGATTTTGAGGAATCTTGCTCGTTTCTGGGGAACAAGATGCTTTCTGGGATGAGGACGTGGCGCTGGAACTTGGGAAGCGCACAACGGATTCGAGCAGGAACACGTTCAGTGCTTGATCATGCACTGTAGTGATATTGCTAAATAAGTTATATTTCCGGAATGGTGCGAATAAAGTAGCTATTTTCCAGCCTCCTTCGCTCCAAAAAGGAAAAAAGGCATTGACGGTACAGCCATTAACAAGTTGTTTAGACAGCTTGGTCTACTTGGTGAAGCACTCCATTCAATATCATTTCTGAAGCAAATTTCAAACGGCAGGGTCTATTTCTGGTACAACTGAAGCTACAGCAAGTTGAGTGCGTTTACTGAACTAGCAAGTTATGCACAGAGACGAATAATGAACAGTGAACAGTAACCACTTTTCATGCCTAAATGGGCACGTCGGCTGCTCTCATTACCACCTCCACCATAACTCATCCGAACGCAATTTAATAGCTAAATTTCATGAGCCACTTCCTCCTTGAGAATATCCCCAGCTCCTGCGAACGGGCCGCCTGCTCCTAACCGACCTCGTGGAGGAGTACTGCAAGCTCTCTGGAGGTGCGTTCCCGTGAAAGCATGCCGACGGAAAAAACGAACTGGTGACGCCGTCATTGACGGCGAACTGCGGCCGTCACCAGTTGACGGTCGGCTGTCACATCCTGACGACCAGCTGTGGCGGCTGAATGGAGCAGCCGTATATGGAGACGGGTTTGAGTCTGAGAGGGGAGGACCTGAGAAATTCCACTCTTCCTCCATGGAGGGGCGTTGAACAGACTCTCCTCCAGGGTCATTTGATGGAATGGCGGGGTTGCGACTCAGTGAGATCGACGGTTCCAGGGATTTGCGCATGGAGTTGTGACGTTTGACAGCCGGACGACGTGGGGCCGAGGAGAATCTGGAAGCGGTAAGCTGCTCATTAATAATCGACTGCGGAGGACTGTGCGCAGTAACTATCGACATTTGCGTAGATATGTTTCGAATTAGGTGTATGAAGGCAGCTGGAAATAAGGATCAAATGTGAGGGACTGCGAAGAAGTCACTAAACGGAGTGGGAGCTGTGAATGTAGAATGTTCACTTGAAATGGTCGAGAGCAAAGAGTCGTTATTCAAACACAACTTGGGAAATAAGTACAGCGGAGTCTGCGCTGGAGGGCTTGGTTGGGAATGAGATTCGTGAAAGGACAAACCATGAGACGAAATCTGAAGTGGAGAGGAGCAAGAGGGAGGTGTGTGAGGATGATGTGAGAGAGGGGAGTGCGAAGGCGATGTGGAGGAGGCGGGTGAATGAAAGCTGGCATGGAGGGGATGAGGTCCGTCAGACATGATGATGGTGGTTATGCGGTCGCTGATTCGTTGAGTCAAAGGACGAGTTAATGATACACGTCACTACAGTCGACTTGCACGCGGAGCCGCTGTTTTGTTCGCTTGTCCTGGACCACCGAACCAAGTCAAAGACTGGCCCAAAAAGCAAGAGCAAACATCCTCAACGCACTGTACACCCGACCTGCCCGTTTGATTGCGGGCTTGGCGTTCACTGTACTGCAATGGAAACATGGGCATCACATCAAACACTTCAGGGAACTCGTGTTTGCTCCTGCTCCACAACTTTCAGGATGACCAATTTGAAACCTACAGTGCAAATTACAGAAGAACGCGGAAACTGTCCAAACAAATGACAGCTGTTCGGGCATGTGAACGAGGAATATGACAAGCCCAGAAGGCATCGAACAACCTGAGGCCGTTGATCGAAGTTCCACGGGCAATTTACTGCTGTACAGCTGTACAGTATGGTGGTGCGAAATCGAATGGGGAGATCCTCCAACGTGCCTCGATCGCAACGATTCTGTCTCACAAATGCACCAACCATCGGTGCTGCTGGTTTGGGCGAAGCTGCCCAAGTTGCCCACATAATTAACATGGGACTGTAGTGCTTCGCTGTTGCCTTCACGCGGTTTTCTTTCAAACAGCTGCGAACACCTCACACGTCTATGGTTCCACAGTCAAGTTGTTAGGAAGTACTACACTTTTAGCAATTTCACGTAGGATCAGTCCGCCAAATATCAGTCAAGCCCAAGTGATTGTCGGACAAAAGCCAATAATCCTGCATCATGGGAGGATCGGGGACACATGAAACATAATAAAAGCAAGTACTTTACGTTACACGTGCAAGCTACCATATAGAACAATCAACCAATGTGCGTACAGATAGAGGGAACGAATAAACAAGCAAGAACAATCATCACCTAAAGCAAAACCAGTAAGTGGTGCAGATAACATTTTGATACGGTATTGCCGCACTCACCACTGGCTCGGCGGGAACGACTCTCATTGGTCCAGCCGCGTCCCCTGGCATTCCTGGCATTGTCATCCACATGTCCCCCTCCCCATCCCCCATAGCCATAGCTCCTCCACCTCCACTCCCCCTCCCCTCTCCACATCCCCAGGTCCCAGGACTTGAGTCTATTCCCACCCCTGATACCATAGCTGCCCCCTCCTGCTCTACTCCCCCTCTGCCTCCTTCTTCTGCTGGCGCTGCTGCTGCTGGCACTTCACCAGCAGTCGTTGCTGCTGCTGGTCTTGTTTCCGTTGCAGCACTCCCGGTTCCCCCGGTGGCATTCCCAGTAGCAGGCGCAACAGCAGGAGTGGCTTGGTCGGTGCCACAGTCAAACTTCTCCTCAAACCGGCTGGGGATGCACAGGGACAGAACAGGCACATGAGAGAGAGAGAGAGAGAGAGAGAGAGAGAGAGAGAGAGAGAGAGAGAGAGAGAGAGAGAGAGAGAGAGAGAGAGAGAGAGAGAGAGAGAGCTTAGCTCCAGGGGGTCATCCTCCACACGCTGGAGGGCTAGAGGGTCACTCAGGGGGGAGGGGAGGGGAAGAGGGGTGAGTTGATGGGCTTATGGGATTGAGGTTATCATGGATAGAACTGCATGTATGTACCCCTGCTGAATTAATACAACAGACCATTTGAGAGAGAGAGAGAGAGAGAGAGAGAGAGAGAGAGAGAGAGAGAGAGAGAGAGAGAGAGAGAGAGAGAGAGAGAGAGAGATCTCAAAGCTGCCTAATTGCGCGGGAGCGTGGCGGGTCCTCATGTTCCTGCCACGTCTCACGCTAAGACTTAGCCGGAGATCCAGCTCTAGGTGGAAACTACTGCGGGCACAGATGCATGTATTCCGATGTGGCCACTGGACCCAGCTGTACACTGAATACTTGGGGTCAATGCACCTGGCTGAACCACCTCAGCACCAACGTGACCCGCTGGGAATCTGCTCACGTGCAGAGGGATTGGTGAAAAGGGGTAACCTGCGAAAGGCGTTAGCGGCCCTTCAACCCTCGCCATCAGCACCAGCGACATTCGCGACACTGCAGCAGCTGGAATCGAAACACCCCCAACCCCAAAATGACCTGCCCGACTGGGTCCACTCCTACACGACACCCACACAATTTTCAACCACCCTGGAAAGCTTTTCGGACGTCCTCGGGGAATGCCCCAGGGGGATTGGGGCTGGCCCATCGGGGTCAACCTTCGAACACTACCGCGATCCAGCGCTAAGTAACATCGAGGTACTAGGGCACCTCCACTCCGCCGTTAAACACCTTCTCTCGACAAACCTTTCCAACGAGGTTGCAGCCCTACTCGCCCCGTCCCGCCTTATAGCCTTCGCCAAACCAGGGGGGGGGGTACGCCCAATCGCGATCGGAGAAACATTGCTTAGGCTGGCGGCGAAAGTGGCACTCTCAGACCTGCAAGGAGAAACGCGAAATTTTTTCCTACCTCAACAATTTGGCGTGGCAGTCCCGGGAGGTGCTGAGTTCGTCATCCATGCAGTCAGAGACCTCACCACCGTACAGCCCTCCAGCCTAGTCCTCCAACTCGACATTGAGAACGCGTTCAACTCAGTCGAGAGGAGCGCGTTCTTCAACGCACTTATCGGCTCCCCGCTAGCCCCCCTCATCCCCTTCACGCGCTCTTTCTACGCATCACCATCACCGTTGCTGCTAGATCCATGCTTTACTTCCACAGCACT